GAGGACGACCGTCATGAAAATGTCTAACATATGTCTAACATTCGTTTAATCCTTAAGTTAATACCGAGGTAGGTGATCAAATTTAATTCCTAGTCTCATATTGGCGTAAGACTTTCACTTTAATCTCGCTCGTGGTCTATATTTCAATTGAGTGGGCGTTTGGATAAATCTAAAAACCACCATCTTTTTATCATTTTTTTCTCTTCTGTTCTAGGGTGACATCCTCAAAAGCAGCATCTTTCTTATTGCACTAAGAAAACACAAGGTCAATCCCTGTTGCCTTAGTCGTCCCATTCGAGAGGTGCCGAAGGAACTGAGCAATTACTTTGCCTCCAATCACATCTGTGTTGGACTTCCCTTTAAACGCGTTCATGTGCCATATCCCATTCGAGTTGGTGTTCGGATAAAAGCCATAAACATGATATCAGTTGATGGCACGGTTTTTCGTAACGTTTGCACATGCACACATACAGACGAATGACTTTTTAAATCTTTGCCACTGACAAGCTTTGGTGTTTTTATATTAGATGGAACATTTTCGAAAGCATGTTAAATAACTTATTAAAAAAAAACAGTGTAATAACAGAAGAATTTTCAGAAATAAAAACGAAATATACTAAATTCTTTAATGTTCTTCATTTGTCCGAATGGTCCTAAGTTATACGAATTTAATCTTCATAAACTCTCCTATTTTAATTATTATTTTTGTCCGAATTTAATCTTACATTGCTCAAATTTCGTGTTCATAAGTTCATTTTTAATGGTCTTACGCTTCCCGAATTTAATGGTCTTTAATTGTTCTAATATAATTGTCTTGAGTGTTCAAATATGACAGTTTTACATTTAATAGTCAGATATTGTTTGAATTTAATGGTATCCGAATTTAACGCGCTTGGGTTGTCCGAAGTTGATGATCTTACGTTACCCGTGTCCGAAGGGAATGGTCGTATATTGTTTGAAATTAATGATGTCCGAAATTAACGCTCATGTGCTGTCCGAATTTGATTGTCTTACATTGTCCATGTCCGAAGTTACTGGTTATATATTCTTTGAATTTAATGGTCTTATGATCTCCGAATTTAACTTGATAGTCTTTCATTGTCCGTGTCCTGAATTATGTTGTCTGATATTGTCTGAATTATTACGATTAATTTCCATGCCATTTTCGGTTTCGTTTTAATCTCAAACTAAGGTCGTTTAAAATTCTTCAAGCAATACGGATCGGGATTAAAAGTAGTAAGCAACAAAGATGTTTGAACTCACAACATCCTAGCCCTTCATCTGATGATGTATCTAGTTAGGAGAAATTAAAATTTCATCGTATAGCTCGATTATTCCCCCTTCCATTTCCTCATAACTATTTTTTATCATCACCATATAACCGACACAGATTCGTTATCAAATAAGGAGTAATAATAATAAGGCAAAAGCTAAAGTTGTCAAAATTAATAATAAACATACTTGGTGTATGTAAATGTTCATGTGTATCGATGAGTGAGAACATGTGCGTATTTGAAGTTATGTGTGCTTGTATTATTTAGTAAACATCTACGTCTGTACCATGTATACGTCGTTGTTGATACATTCCTATAATTTAGCGCAGAGGGGAACAGGAAGCTAATATATTTGAATGGTTGCGCATGCGTGTGCCTTTTTTCACATGTTGATGCTGAATTAAGTGCGTTTGCATAGATGTCTAGGTGGCTGAGTGCATCGGTGAGAGAAGGGGTTATGATATTGATGGAGATTTTGACAGTGGGGTTGGGGGAATTATCAGAAGAACGAATAGAAAGAAATCGAATAAACTTCACCGGAAATATTAGGGGAAAAACGAAAATAGCGTAAAAAAAAAGGTGCGCATGTGTGTTGCTGAGTGGTTAGAGTGTTATTGTTCCGACCATGAAATCTAGGTTCGAATCTCGCCGTGGTACATTTGTTAGGAGGGGTGTGATTTCTTCATAATATCGGACTGGGGAGACGATTCCAGCACGCGGTATTATTGCAAAGTGGTTGAAAATCATACCTTACAATTTTTTTTTTTTTTTGAGTGAAACTGAGTAGATGGTCGTCGATGGTTGTGCTTGCTCAAAATCACAAGTCATCGTGACCAAAGGTTTGATCGTCCAGGTATTTTTGAAGAAACTGTTGATCACGTCAGATGATGAGCTCTCTCCCGGAAAGAGTAATTAAGGTCCGCTCAGTATAAATGCAAATATAAACTATAGCTGGTTCTGTGAATGCAAGGAGGAAAACATAGTTTCATATATATATATATATATATATATATATATATATATATATATATATATATGAAACTATGTTTTCCTCCTTGACAGACAACAGACACACATACATACATACATACACACATACATACACACACACACATATATATATATATATATATATATATATATATATATATATATATATATATATATATATAAATTTAAATATTAGCTCTGTTCTTCACATTGAGCTCTCAGGATTTCATCCTCCTTGGATTTACCAATTCGGTTTACCAAGTTCTTCATAACTTAATTATATATATATATATATATATATAAAAGAGAGAGAGAGAAAGAAAAGAGAGAGGAGCTACCTTTCCTAAAAAAAAAAAAAAAAGCGACGCCTAATGTTTAAAATGAATTTTTTGAAAATTAAAATTTTTCTTGAAGCTTTTATTTTAGTTTTAATTTCAAGCGAATAGATTAAATTTAATATTTCCAACAAGCAAAATACTTTGTTTGCTGCATATATATATGCATATATATATATATATATATATATATATATATATATATATATATATATATATATATATATATATATATAGATATATAAAAATATAGATAACTAGACTCGTTTCGAAAAACCCTCGAATTTTTGATTTGCTAATCAAATCAATCTCGAGGGAAAAAAGGTTTTAAAAAAAAGAAAGAGCTACAAACATGAACTTCTGCCGACAAAAAAATCGCACAGATGCAGGTCTGAAGCCCAAAGAAAAAACCCCGATACGAGTAACAACTAACTAACAAAAAAGCTCAATACAACCGTAGAGCAGACCTAGATACACCTAGTGAGCCAGACAAACCTACCTAGGTTTCACCTAAACGGATCGTCAGGGAAAGTTTGTCTGGCTCACTAGGTGTGTATATATATATATATATATATATTGAAGAGAGAAAGAAGCCACAAATATTTTTGTATATAATGGATTCTTTAAATATATATTATACTTTATTTTAGATATTTTTGCTTCGCGTGTTTCGGGTCTTGTGACCTTCATTAAGCGAAGAGTGGTTATTTCCACATACTATTTATAGGAATTCATTTTTCCTTATGTCTTCCGATGATCAACCATTGTTTTTGGGGGATAGTAGTAATCCAAATGTTCTTAGACTTGAGGAGAAAAAAAAGATCTTCTGCTTTAGGGGTAATAAAACCCTTAGGATTGGTCAGAGAAAGGGCGAGGGAAGGAGGTCTTTGTTCTCATCTTTTTATGACCTCTGTATCTTTTTAAACCTATCTCCATTTTTGTGTTTTATGTGTGCAGGATTGTTTTTTTGCTAGTATGCGTATACATATTCCTTGTCCCTTCTCCGGATACGAACAGCCACCCCGCCCCTAGGGGAAACGGTCATTAGATCTGACGTGCGTTCACCTTTTGGCTACAGTGTGCGTTGATCACCAAGTAAAGATTAATGGTACCTTTAAACAAAGATTTTCCTCTGACTCTTGACGCTAGACGAACTAAATATACTGTTTAATAAAGAAACGTCACACTGTCGCACTCTGTAGAGGTCAAAGCACGTCTGATCTATGATGGTTTTCTCTTGTGGAATATAGGTTCGAATCCTGCCGGAGAGCGCATGTTTTTCCCTAATAAGATTTCTCGAATATTCAGGCCGGTAGACGAAAACAGATAAATATACTTTTTAATAAATAAACGGCGCGTCTACTCAAATGCACGTATCCAACTTATTACGGAGAAGATAAGATTTTGAAAGTTTTTTTTTTATTATTTAATATTTCTTGTGTACTTACAAATCATCTTTTTCCAAGACTGGGCGACTAGAAAAATTAACCATTCCAGAGCGCTTTCAGTTAATAAGTTAGCCATTTTCATGAGATGTTAATTTTCGTTTTTAATAAGGATTGTTAATAGATTTATTTTTCTTACTTATTCTACCTTGCGTGAGATAGTTTCTAATATCAATTCCATTTTTAGTGGATTTCTTTTGTGATTCTAATATATATATATATATATATATATATATATATATATATATATATATATATATATATATATATATATATCGGATTAATGTGAGTAAACTTTGTCACTTAGCTGATTAAGTGAATAGCATATAATGAAATTCAATTGTACCCGATTTAATGGGGTTACAATTGAATTTCATTTATATGTAATGCTCTGTGATAAATGCATTGAGCTCTCTTTCGTGGACCAGTTTTAATATTTTATATTACTTGGATTCACTTGGGTTACTTACCCACGGATTTTTACCTATATATATATATATATATATATATAGAAAATACTAAGTCAAAGCGGGAATTAAAATAAAGGAGGAAAGGGGAAAACAGGAGAGAAAGATGATGAAAAGACAAAAACTGAAGAAGAAGAAGAAGAAGAAGAAGAAGAAGAAGAAGAAGAAGAAGAAGAAGAAGAAGAAGAAGAAGAAGAAGAAGAAGAAGAAGAAGAAGAAGAAGCGGAAGAAGAAGAGACAAAGTGAAGAAAACATCTTGATGAACGAAGTACTTAAATATGATGAAGAAATAGAAAAAAATGAAGACAAGTTTCAATGAATGAAGGAACAATGGAAGGAAAATGATAAATAAATAATTAGAAAACTCAAAAGAAAAAATTCCATATGAAATGAAAGAAAGACGAAACAGTGGTCAAATAAAGATAAGATAAAAAGGCAGAAAAAAATAAATGAGAAACTTTTGAATAAAAAATACACTGAAAGGAAGAATTAAATCATGAGGGAAACGATAGGATGAAAAGAAAGAAAGAAAGAAAGAAAGAAAGAAAGAAAGAAAGAAAGAAAGAAAGAAAGAACGCGAAATATATTGAAGCGGATAGAAAGAAAGAAATAGAGAGAGAAGGAAAGAAAGAAGGAAAGGAAGTAGGAATGAGAAAAAGTGAGATATTTTGATGCGGATATGGAAAGAAAGAAAGAAAGAAAGAAAGAAAGAAAGAAAGAAAGAAAGAAAGAAAAGGAAAATGTGTTAAAAGCGACGGAAAAGAGAAAGGAAGGAAAGACGTCTAATAGGGAGTAAAGTAAAGCGAAAAGGGAGAAGGAAAAGAGAATGAGAAAGAAACTTGAAAGAATTATAAATAAAATTAAAAAAGAAAGTGTAAGTGAAGAGAGTATGTAGACAGAAAGAAGAAAAGGACAAAACCACAATAAAGCCGTGATTACAACAGAAAAATAAATTGAAGGTAACTCCAAAACAAAAATGAAAAAGCAAGGAATCATGCAAGAAAGAAAGAAAAAAAGAAAGAAAAAAAGAAAGAAAGAAAGAAAGAAAGAACGAAAAGAAAAGAAAAGAAAAGAAAAGAAAAACGGGACATGGTAAGATTGAAAGATAAATGTAAAAGAAAGAAAGAAAGTCAGATGCATGAGAACGTGTTATAGAGAAAGAGAAAAGAAAAATAACGGAATTAAAGCACTGATTATACTTTGTTATTGGGTTTCAATACAACATCAGAGAGTGACTAAATTTTCCAGATATCCTCTCTAGTCTGTCGACGGTTACAGTCCACTTGTCCCCAACTTACCCCACCCCGGAACCACATAGAAACTTCCGCCGTTAGGAGGCTCGACTTGGTCCCAATGGACCTCGAAAAAAAAAGGGGCGATATCATATAAACTCTCTTTGACATTTCCTTGCTTGGGTTGAGAGTAGTAATGCAACAACCTTTTCTACCAAGCATATATGTAGATAATAACGATCCCACATACACATACACAGACAACAGACACACATACATACATACACATACACATACATACATACATACATACATATATATATATATATATATATATATATATATATATATATATACACACATACATACATATATATATATATATATATATATATATATATATATATATATATATATATATATATATATATATATAAAGAAAGAGAGAGAGAGAAAGAAAAAGAGAGAGAGAGCTACCTTTCCTAAAAAAAGCGACGCCTAATGTTTAAAATGAATTTTTGAAAATTAAAATTTTTTCTTGAAGCTTTTATTTTAGTTTTAATTTCAAGCGAATAGATTAAATTTAATATTTTAATACTTTACTGCATTTTAAAAAACAGTTTAAAACTAATTTAGATAAACTGGGAGGAGGATTTTTGGGTTGTTATTTGTTTTTTGTTGTTTTTTTTTTTTTTTTTTGCTAAAATAGCTGCTTAGCAATCTTTTTAGTTATGTTTCATCGCAATGTAATTCTCTTTATTAAAAAAAATCTTCCAAAAATAAAATTTACTTTTCTGAAACTCTAACTGTGGAATTTTAGCAGATTTAAAGTATAATTAATCTGATTCGAAACAAATATCATTTACTTATCGAAGACATGCATTTTTTAAATCGACAGTGGCTGCCTTGGCGTGTTGACAGCCTGATGATAAATGTTATTCTCCGGAGACTTTATTTGTAAAATATAATTTACGAAAATGACGTGACCCCCATTTTATATAATTTTTAAATATTCAGTAATCTTAAAAAATTAGGAAAATATTCTCCTTAATGTAATATTTTATTAAAATTTATAAATGTTGACTCTAAATTAAATATAGTCGTCGTTCTTACTTTCTGATAATGTCGTATATGGTTGTATAATAATGCCGTATGTGGTCGTATTTAAAGTGTTTAAAGTTAAAATGTGTAAATCCCTCTCCTGAGGGGTTTGTAACACATTATTTATCATCTCTCAGTTGCGTCTTTGTCTTTGGGCAGAGTACACTCAGGGGCGACTCCATCAAAGGACAGAGTCGCAACTTAAGAAAATTATAATGAGAGGTGCGCAGAGCTGGGGAACAACTACCCGTGGCCGCACCTTCTCATTGCATCAGAGAGAGGGATCGGTGCTGACACTGAGGCCAGAGCAACCGACGGCTGCGGGCAATTTTTGTTCCTAGCCCGGGTGTACGCGCTCGGGTAACCACCGTAAAAAATGACCTTGTGTCTCAACATCTTAGTGGGGAGACAGAGTAAATACCTAGTACATTTAAAGTCAACATGTGTATGTGTATGTATATGTGTGCGTGTGCGTGCTCGTGTATATATATATATATATATATATATATATATATATATATATATATATACACAAAGGTGTGATATAAAAAATATCAGAACGGAAGTGGGTTCGAATGCCGTCTGTGATATTTTATGGCTAAATGGTGAGTAAACATAAAAATACCACAGACGATATTCGACTCCACTTCCTTTCTGATATTCTTTATATCACACTTTTTTGTGTATATATATATATATATATATATATATATATATATATATATATATATATATATATATATATATCACATACGGATGTGGAGGTGGCTGATTGGAATGAGCTGAGTTCGTATTCCAAACGATTTCGTTATTTTCACTTTCATGCAAATAGTCATAGGAAAGGTATGTATATATTAATTCTCTCACCAGCTATGTAGGTGTTTAGTAGTGTTGTTTAATGAAGAGAATCCCACAAGCGAGAAGTGTGAGAACTGAAACTGTTAGCAAATACTTATGGTTACATCTAGTCAATTCAATAGTAAAATGATGAGACCTACTTGCCAATCTAGTACTGCGTCTAAATTCATAAAGCCTAGATACTTTAGAGCAAAGTTCATCTGAACAATTACCATAAACGTATTTATAGAAAAGTCACAAGTAAGCTACATTACGGCGGTGGAAAAGTGGCTAAAGCTGGATAACTGGTCTGGGCCAATAACATTGCAAATTCTTCTTTGGATTTTATCAAGGATCTCTAAATATGCAGTAGAAGTACCAGACCATATGTGGCAGCAATAATCGAAGCATGAACGAATGGTAGACTTGTAATAATTCTAGTTTTAGTCGGTAACTTGAATAAAAAAGTTATTTTTCTGAAAGGCGAGCAAATAAAATGTTTAAATACTGACTGATCTTCGTTTCAGTAAGTCATGTTGGAAACTATTTCCTCGCATCTTATTTTTTTTTCTTTCTAGGGCTTGTAATGCATAAGCAATACAATACTGATTAAATATATATACACTTTAATGATTGCCCTAAAATTGTACAAAAGCTAGATCTGGTAACTTTTCATCAATCTAATAATTATCGAAATCTTGCAAAATCTGTTTGCAAATCAGAGTTAGTTAATAAGTTGTCCGTCTTTATCGAAGGTGATGTTTCTATTTCCTGAGCGTTTGAGCTTGCCATACTTGTTGTCGCTAATGATGATATATATACCTTCTCAGTCCAAACACGGAGGGACAACGCTTCCCACAAGTTTGTCATGGAATGCCGTCTCCTAGTGCTGGAGTTCATTGTTCCTCTCATTCGACATATTTTTTAATGGGCTCACTCCCAGCAAGGCGTTAAAGCCACTAAAACGCAAGGGGTTACTAGGTGTGAAAGAAACTGAGAAAACTTTACTGAGAAGAAAGGACAATAAAAAGAACATGATTCAAGGAGACAAAAATGTCGATTGACGTTGTATTTGAATGACTGATTTTGTTTTTTTACGGTTTATCAACTTTTTGCAGCTAATTTAAATCCAGAAAAGATTTTTTTTTATATTGTAAGAAGTTTTTGGAAGGTAATAATAATTTACTGTTAGAAACCCCACAAATTAATCCCTAGCTAGGATGATATAAGATTGATTCATACCTTTCCAAAGAGTATTTGCGCGTAAGCGAATATAATGAACCCGACTGGAATTGGAACTCGGCTCTCCGATTTCCAGTTCCAAGCCGTTATGCATTACACCATCCACACATCTAAGCTTAAAGCACCCAACATCCCCAAAGTAGGATTGACGTTACATTTAAATTTTTGAAGATCGTAGTTGACAGAAAACTAAGAAGCTAGAAGAGAGTTCTATAGGCGATAAGTAAAAGTGATGAAGCTATTAGAATACTTACTAATATTTTTTTACGGTAAAATAATGAGACCTAGCTGCCAATCTAGTACCGTGTTTAAATGCATGAAGTCGGGATACTAAAGAGGAAAACACGTCAGAACAATTGCCGTAAAAATATTTATAGAAAAGACACAGGGAACTACATTACGGCGGTGGGAAAATGATTGAAGCTGAGATGCCAGGTAATGACCGATAATGTTGCAGATTTGTGGATTTTGTCAAGAATCACTAAATACACAACAGCACCAGACAAAATGGACTAAAAGTATTCAATGCATGAACGAATGGTCGACGTTTCTCACTCTGGTGCGGGCTGAATCGAAACCAGGTAACCTGATGAATAGTAGAGCATCTGGTTGAGTGATGAGCTTCCAGTGTCTCAAGTGGGTTGAAATGGAAGCCGTATATCTTGGGGATCGACCTCAACTGGTCATTATAAATTTCTTTCAGTTCTCGCTATAAAATCTAACGAGATAAATTGTTCTCTCGCATTCTAATTACGTGTCTAATCCGTCCAAACTGACACGTGAGGAACATGCATTCAGTGTTTTTGTGTTATTTGCCCTCTGCAGTATGATTGTAAACGGGATACGATCACGCCATGAGACGCCAAAGATGATTTGGAAGCACCAAATATAGAAGGCCTCCAGCTTCCTGATTTTTGGCACTGTATAATGACCAAGTCTGATAAGTCCTTTAAAATATCTGCATTTATACCGTGCATCTAATACGTTGCTGTTACGGATAGGAACGGCGAAGACGAGCTGTACAACTGAAACCATGTACAACTTCAGTAATAATAATAAAATGACCTTTGCAAATCGGGCATTTTATATTATGACAAACACGTAATATTTTATATAGCGTTTGATAAGAATCTAATCATTTCTTTAGCACATTTTCTTGCAAAATACTTGATGTCATTTAAAAGATTGTCAATCAGTTATGTGCTATGCGTGATTCACGCATCAGCGATCATATTTCGATACATGACTGACGAGGCAGATTTTTCCTACAGTAGGTTGTCATTTCTTTCTGCGGTAGACCAGTTGCCATCCAATAGAACCCGGTCTGTCCTGCTATTTACCCATAGCTGGGGGGAGAGGAAAGAGGATTCATACCTTTCCCAAGGGTATTATCACGTAAGTGAATGTAATTAATTTGACTGGAATTCGAACTCGGCTGTCCGATAACTCATTCCGAGTCGTTATCCATTACTCCACTCCAATTTACCCATCGCACCCTGTATATTTGATGGACTCTCCCGTCGATTTTGACGTATGAGGGTCCGACAAATTCATTCAGTTTATAGAATTGTGCCGTATGTGATACTTCAGTCCCGCTAGTAACCTTCACATACAAGTTCACATATTGGGCAACAGCAAATATCTCAGCACTTGGCAACAGGAATATTTGCTGGTGCTTTTCGTCGTTGTCTTTTGTCTGTTAGCCAGTCAATCCGACTGATTTTGAAA